TCAGAACCAGCTACAAGCTGTCACCTGCCCTTGTCCCACACATATACAGTCTTCCTCATTCCAGGAACTCAGAGACGTTAGACGGCTGTCCAAGTTTTTCTACGTCTTCATTGGCAACGCAACTTGGAAGGAGAAGAGAAGTGAAGGCCTTTACCAGGCCAGCAAACCAGTGTTCATGAGTGTCCCAAGGAGAGTCCCTGGGGGCAGGACAGCTACTGGGAACAGGCAAACACACAAATAAGAATCCCAAGTCTGCTGGGGTCTGTATGGCAGGAGGTGGTATGTGAGCCTGGTAATATCTCAGAAAGACATCAGTAGTTGACCATGAACTTCTTCTCTGGGCCTAAGACTCCTAGAAGGGCCCCTGAGTGGGTGGCAGCAGGGTGGAACCCTGAGGACTCATCTCTCTGGCATTCCGTACATCCTTCTTGCTGGCCCTGGGGACCCCCCTACTTCCTCCAGCCCTTACTGCAGAATGGGGGTGGGGATAGAAAGAGAGGTCTCACTTTGGAGGGGCTGAGCTGCCCATTCAGCAGGTCAGCCCTGATGGGGCCTCCTGGGTCCCCTTGCTCCTCTGGGCTCTGCCCTGAGGAAGGGTAACTTCCAAGTTCCATGTGGCAGATTCGCCCAAAACCTCCAAAGCCCCAGTTCTGCCTGGTGCCTTCAGCAATGCAGCTTGAGCTGTCATTGTCCTCTCCTTGGACATTGGGGTGCCCCCACACCAAGATGACCTCAAGGGCAGAACCCAGTGTGACCTGGGTCTGTGTCCCCCAGGGCCAGGAGAGGGAGGCACACTCAGCACCCAGGGCCTGGGGTCAAGTCTTACCCATACCATTTTCTAACTGTGTGACCTCAGCCATGTGACTTTGCCCCTCTATGCCTCGATTTCCTTCTCTGTAAAATGGACAGAAAATTATAGGACTATTTCATAAAACTGTGGTGAACTTAACTAGGGTGATGCGGGGAAGGTAAAGCACTTAGAACTGTGCCAGGCACCTACTAGGTGCTCAGTAAACATCACCTGTTGTGTGTATTCCTGTCACCTCCCAGCGTTCCTTCCTGAGCTCTGAAGGATTCTGGGACTGGGGCCAGCTGGGCTCTCTCCCCAAGATGGCCTGAGCCTTTAGGAGATGTGAGAGGAGAGGGGGCCCTCAAGTTGCCTCCAAGCCCCTGGGGGTTGTGGCCGGTCTGGAAAGCCCCGACTCACCACACTGTTTGGATTGGGTTTCTATTCCCAACACCGGTGAGAGACCTGCTATTTATGGGCCCCCCATCCCACCCCCTGGGCGGCCAGACAGTGCGTGGGCTGGGGACCACATGGCTGGCAGCCCGCCGCCCCCACCCCACCCGGGCGCGGTGACCGGGGCACGTTTGGCACGTTGGTTATCCCGCCGGCCCGGCAGTGGCTCTCCCCGCTCTGCCTGGCTGCGCGGGAGGAGCAGAGATGGAGCGGCCACGAGGGGCTGCGGCCTCTCCGTCCTGCCTTCGGGCTTCTAGCAGAGTGTCTCTGAGGACAGGTGGGTTCTTGGGGGCACTGGGGATGACACATGCCACCCCTTTCTATTTTCACCCTTATGATGACACATATGTCATGTGGTGTCTGGTGTGGTCAAAACCCTGGAGCCAGACTGCCTGGGTTCAAGTCTCACCTCAGCTGCTCTTTAGGTGTGACCTTGAGCAACGGCCCAGACCTCTTTGTGCCTCAGTTTCCTCAGGTGTCAGACAGAGCTAGTACTAGTACCCGCCTCATAGGGTCATCCCGAGAGTTAGAAGAATCGATACAGGTGAGCGCTTAGCACCTATCCCGGGCCGTGGAAAACACTCAACCTCGACTGGGTGTTCTCATCCCTGCAGGGTCTGATGCAGGACACTGGCCCTGGCATTCTTTCCACGGCTCCTGTTCTCTGGCTAGGCAGGACTGCTGTACCCACTGTGCAGATGGAGAAGTGGAGTCCTAAAGGTGGGGGAAGTGACCTCCCCAAAGTTGCCCAGCGGGGGATGGTAGAACCCAGGCCTTCTGCCTCCCAGCCCAGGGCTCTTCCCAGCCCTGCCACTGCCTCTTGGTTGCTGACTGCTGGAGTCCTCTCCCCACTCCCTCACCAAATATTAATAGGTAAGGAACACCCCCCTCCACCCCCTGCCAATCCAGAGATGGAGGTGAAGACCCTGACAGGTGTTTGTCGGGCAGGAGCCAGCCTGAGCTCAAACCCGGGGCCAGCCTGCCCTGGGGCCGTGCCTTCCAGTCAGCCCACTCGGGACAGGGGCTATTTTTAGTGTGTGGTGTTTGCCCAGTGGCGGGGGATGTTTGTGAAGGGTCAGGCTGTTGGTGCCCCTTGGCCTCCAACTGGAAACTGCTCTCCACCGTGCGACTGATTGGCCGAGAGCTCAAGGCTCTGGCAAGCCTTTCCCCTTCTTTACAAAATGTGGCCGTCTCTCCTTCCCGTCCGCCCTCTTGCCAAGCCCACAGCTTCTGATCCGGGCTCCCCGCCGCCAAGATGGTGACAGCCTTCCCAGGTCTGGCGGGATGAGCAAATTGGGCAAAGTGTGGTTTCCTGGCCCGGGCCCGGCGACTTCCCTCCACTAATAAACCTGTGGCTAACCATCCGTGGCCTCGTGCTCCGTGGTTAGAGCACCACGCCAACGAGGCGGAGGTCAGGATCCAGCCCAGCTGGGCCAGCTGCACTCTGAGGTGTGCTCTGGCCCACGGCCTCAGCCTGCAGCCGTGCAGCCTGGGCTGGGGGCGGCCAGCCCTGGGGAGGGCCGGGAACCTGTGAGAGTGCACATGTCCACTCTTTCCCGGGGATGGGGGATAACCGAGCTGGTCCACCTGCCTGACTCTGGGCAGGGCACCAGGCTGGACACTTCTCTACATGAAGACTGGCATATACCTGAGTGGGAAACCACTATAGACCAAGAAGGTACCAGTCAGGCAAGCACAAGTCCACTGAGTCGGCTTCTAAATCACTTGGGGAAGCCCCTGGAGAGGCAGCAGAGTGTGATGGTTGAGAGAACAGTGGGGTTCAAATCCCTGACGGGACACTTAGTTGCGGTGTGCTTCTGTGACCACTCTGTGCCTCAGTGTCCCCACCTGTAAAATGGGTGTGATCATAGGCCTCTCACAAAGATGAAGGAAGCTAAGGCATGAAAACACTTAGAATGGTCACTGCTATACAGGTGTTAGCTCTTGTTGTCACTGTAGTATCTCAATCCCTAACCCCAGTTGCATGGACTCTGTACCCCTTGAACTGATACCTGGCCCTACATCCCCTCACCCCCCCATCCCTACTCCTTACAGACACCTTCCCTCACACCAAGGGCCACTCCGCTGGCCCCAAAGCCCTTGTGTAGTTGAAGCCTGGCTCACGTGGAGGGTCCCCGCCTTGCCCTGCTGGGAGGCCAGGTGCTGGGTGGCCAGGCCTCAGGAGGGGCCTTGCCCCAACCCCTGCCAGAAAGAAGCCAGTGTCCTCAGAACAGGCGGACACAGGGCAGGTGCCCTGCTCTGTTCCTGTGGCTCCTGCCCAGGAGGGCGCGGCCGCGGAGCTCGGGGCTATAAATAAGGTATCTGGGAGGAAGGGCTTTAATTTGCACTTTACCTATTGGTGTTTACTTTGCTATTTCCAATATGGTAATTTAATCCTGCACGGTGCCTGGCTGCGGGGGCACCTGGGGCGTGCGGTTACCTGACCGGACCAGGAGTGACTCCTGTGTCACTGTGCAGTTCTGACAGGGATGCCACAGGGACAGCGATGGGCTGTGGAGGCTGCAGGTGTGCGCATGGCAGAGAGGGACCGCACTCGACGTTGAGACCCCCTCTGTGCCCAGACCCACAGTCCTCGCCTCTTCATTCGACTCTGTCTGCTGACAGCAGTGCCAATGTCCTCCTCCTGCCCTGCATATCTCCACGTCTCTCCCTGCCCTTGGCCAGGGGCGCCATCTTTGCTCCCTCTCACCTCTAGCAATCCAGGCTTTTCTGTAGGTCACACAGCTATTTACAAAACAGCCATTGCCATCGCCCCACCTCACCAGTTCCTTGCTACGTTTTAGTTTTTGTATTTTGTCTTTTCTATGAGATGTGGGCTCCCAGAAGCAGGGCCATGTTTCCCCTCAGACTGGGCTCCCTGAGGACAGGGCCGTGTCTCCCCTCAGACTGGGGCTCCCTGAGGACAGGGCCGTGTCTCCCCTCAGACTGGGGCTCCCTGAGGACAGGGCCGTGTCTCCCCTCAGACTGGGGCCCCCTGAGGACAGGGCCATGTCTCCCCTCAGACTGGGCTCCCTGAGGACAGAGCCGTGTCTCCCCTCAGACTGGTCCCCCTGAGGACAGGGCCGTTTCTCCCCTCAGACTAGGGCCCCCTGAGGACAGGGCCGTTTCTCCCCTCAGACTGGGCTCCCTGAAGACAGGGCCGTTTCTCCCCTCAGACTGGGCTCCCTGAGGACAGGGCCGTGTCTCCCCTCAGACTGGGCTCCCTGAGGACAAGGCTGTGTCTCCCCTCAGACTGGGGCTCCTTGAGGACAGGGCCGTGTCTCCCCTCAGACTGGGGCTCCCTGAGGACAGGGCCATGCTTCACCTCACACTGGGGCTCCCCAGTGGAGATAAAGTTGGTCGCCCCCAGATCAGGGGTCTCTACAGTGTGAGGCCTATCCAAGGGCTTGGGCTGAATATCCCCTATTTTTTCTGTCTTTGCTTTTGTCTCCCCTCTCTCTCTTTCCCACCATTGCCTAGGCCATATCCCAGGTTGGCTTTGTTCCCCCCTGGTCAGGACTATATCCCCTAAGGCCACCAAGAGTGCATGTGTCCTGCTTCTCACTGACCAGCAGATGTGGCCGACAGGGTCACATTCGGACGGTAGTGGGCCATGGGCCTTGTTGCTGTCATTGTTACACACTTGTTAGTTCCTTCATAAAAAACGCCAAAAACTACATTTTACAACTGTGTTGGGATGAAGAAAAATATATTCCTATTTCATATGGAAACATTTTTCTTTGACTGAAAAGATCATTTCTTCCTTCTGATTTTAAAATAAATCAGAAAATTTCACGGGCCTCTAAAAGTACCACGGGCTGGCGCTGTGCCCGCTGCACCTAGCGGAGAAGCCGCCGGATGGCAGGGCCCCGGCTCGGCCTGGGCGAGCCCGAACATCGCTGGCGGGGACGCCTTTCCCATCCCGTGGCTTTTATCAGTCTCGCCAAGTCCCCGTGAGTCAGGCAGGGCCGGCGTTCTTACCCCTCACCAGCCGTCAGCCCCTGCGCCTGCCACGGGCCACAGCCAGGACCAGGGCCACCTCGGCCACTCCCTTCCTCGGTGCCAGGAGCCGTGCTGGGCACACGGTCACCTTTATCTTACTTAATCCTCACAGCCAGCCTCTGAGGCAGGCGCCGTGCTGATTTCCCACTTCACAGATAAGGAAAATGAGGCTCAGAGGGAAGAAGTCACGGGCTCAAGGTCACCCAGTCAGGTGGCGACAGGGTGGGAACGGAGGACCCAGGGGTCCTGGCTTCAGAAAGTCTAGGTCCTTCCACTCCAGAGACCGTGAAGGGCCAGGCCGTGTGTCGGTGGGGGTCAGCAGGAGGGACTGGCTGTGCCGTCTCAGGACGTGGTGGCGGGAAGGTGGCAAGGCCTGGAGAACTTGCCCTAGAAGTACCTGTCTTCCTGCCCCAGCTCCCTCTGGATTCCAGCCCGGGACGCTGTCAGCGCTGGGTGGTGGGTCGAGACTACGGTGAGGGGGTGCTGCAGAGATTCCTGATCGCGCTGCCCCTGACCCTTCTCTCCTCCAGGTCTGCCAGCTCCAGGCCCTCGTCCCTCCCTCCTCCTCCCACCGCTTTGTCCCAGAGGCCTCCATTGAGTCTTGTCTGGGTTGGGAGTCCTGGGGGCCCAGAGGAGCAGGAGAGAAACTTGGCGGTGGGAGCGGGGAGTGAGGGTGGGGGCTGGCCGTGGCACTCAGGCCCCACCCAGGGCCCCCGCTGCCCCTGTGCCCGAGCTCTGGGGGCCTCACCGCTCTTCCTCTGGCCCGTCTCTGTCTCTACAGCAGTTCCCCTGCTTTCCCTGTCTTCCTCTTCCCTCTTCATTTCTGGCCTGTCTTTTAACAAATCCATCCCTTTTATGCCTCATCCACCTCGTCTTCGCTGCCTGTCTGTGCCGTTCCTCTCTCTGCTTCTCTCTGCTCCCGCGTCTCCTCTGTGGCCGGTGGGGGTCCCGCTGTCTGCTTTTCCTCCGCCTCTGTCCACTCTCTCTGTCTGCCAGCGTTTCTCCCCCTCACGTGCTGTCTGTCTCTCTGCCATCCTCTCCCCGTCTCTCTTTGTCTTTCTCCCTTTCTCATCGTTCTGAGACATAACAGTGCCTGACCCAGCGGGGACAACGGATTTCACAGACAAATTACCCGACAGAAGCGGAGAGGACCGTGCTTGGGGAGCAGCAGTGTGGCGTGTGCGTAGGGGCGGGGGAGGGGCGGGTGGCCCGGGCCGGGCAGGTGTGGGTGCCCACGGCCGCAGCGCATGGGAGGGGCTTGTGGGAAAGGCCCTTTGTGCAGGCCGGGCTCTGGGTGGCTTCAAGCCGCAAGTCTTTCTTCCAAAGCCAACTCTTTGATCCCGGGAGACATAAAAGGGCCATCTGCATGTGCGTGTCATATAGGTAGAGCCGGGGAGGGATGGGGAGAGAGAGGGGGAGGACCACAGACATCTGGGGGATGCTGGCAGGGTCCACGTTTGGTCTTGAGCGTGTATCCGAGGGGAAAGTCCCATGTTTGGGACCCGCCTCTGCACTGTTTTTGCTGGGGGCCCTTTTTGCCCATGGGCAGGGGCAGTCACTGACTGCCTGGGCTGTCTGCAAGGGCAAGTACAGGGATGTGTGGTGATGAAAAAGCCCCGTAGGGGACTTGGGAGGGTTGGTGTGGGCCAGGAGCAGCTCACGGACTCTCTAAGTGACTCCAGGGCTTACTTCAAAAGCCTCATTTCCTCGTGGTGATTCACGTCCTCCAGAAAGCCGCCCAGAGCAGCGCTGGTCACTGAGGTCCCTCCTGCCCACGGAGGCCCTTCAGCTCTGAGGGGCTCCGCTCTCCCTCCAGGTCAGGATGGGTGCCGGACACTGCCAACCCCCAACAGACCAGCAGGCCGGGAAGGGCCACGTGTTTGTTTTCTCTCGTGGCCCTGGGACCTGGCCTAGGTGGGGTCCACCGGCGTTCTTTGGGCATAATAGTGCTCTCCTGTGGTCGTGAGGAGCCTCTGATTTTCCAAGCGCTTTGGCAGCCACCTTGGCATCTGATTCTCACCCTGTCCAGTGAGGAAGGCAGGGCCTGGATTAGCACTGAGGTCAAGTAACTTGCCCAAGGCCAGTTAGCAAGCAGGACGAGTAAGAAACCCAGGAGCCTGTCTGCAATTCCCATTTTACAGATGGGGAAATTAAGGTGGAGAGCAATGGAAATGGAGCTTATTAGAGACAAGGTTCATATTAAAACCTAAGTTTCCAGACTTTTTCTTCTAAACCATAATGACTGGACCACCCTCCCAACCTTCACCTGGTAGACACACATTTGGGGAACACTTGGCTTTCAGAGAGGGCTCAGAAGCCCCAGGGCTATGCCAAGGGGCCTGCCAGGCAATTTTCTGGGTTAGAGCTCATGGGATGGGGATCCCATATGTACCCTCATGGCCCTGCCCAGCAGACAGGCATTGGTCCTGCCCAAAGGGGACATGAGACAGAGAGATAGGCTGGATGAGGAAGTCCCTGTCCATTTCATTCCCCCCCTTTCATTTCAGGCTGAGTGCATGGCTCTGCCTTTGGCTTCCAGGAAATAGGGAGCAGCAAAAGACAAAGACAGCAGGTTCGTCCCATGGGAGCTCCTCATAGGCCACCAGGCCCAGCTCCAATCTTGTTTCAGACAATGAAAATGTCTGGTATAATCCGAGGACTCATGGCATTGTACAGACCTCTCTCCAGCCACCTCAGCTTTCAAGCCCTCTGAATTCTGACTCAGAATCTTCCAGAGTCCTTGATCTGGGGCCTCTACTCCCCTCAGCCCCAGGACTTCCAGGATTAGTGTCCCTGCCTGAGTTCCATGTTTTGTCTCCCAAATACACTGTGTTTATTAAGCACTGATCCATTTCCCCATTTCATTAATGCAGGACGGCTATTTTTGACATAATCCATGTTTCCAGTGTAATTGCCCCGAGGACGTGCCAGCTAAGGGCAGAGATTTGACATTTGAGTTAGAGGCTGCAACGAAATGAGGGAACAGGTAGGATTTCCAGGTAAATGTTTGAACTGTTGGAAAGGGCTCAGGCCCGTCTTTACTATCATCACAGACTTTTAAGACTTTGAGCCCCATGCTGGGGACACTTGCAGTAGTCATGGGACTCTTCTGTGGCACAAATGGGCTACACACACACACACACACACACACACACACGCATGCACATGCACACACATTAACATATACGCTCTAGAAGAACCAGAGGCTGGGCCTAGGAGGAAGTCTTTCTCTTGGCTCCAGGAATTGCACTTTCTCACCTGAGCTTGTTCACTTTAAGCTCTTCCATATGAGCTGTGTGCTGGGTGAGATGCAGGGGCTCACAACTGAGTCAGGAGACAAGACCTGTGGACTGAAATCACTGGCCCACGGCTGTGCATGACAACCTTCTGTGGGCAGCTGTATAGGCTATGCCCAGAGGGAGACAGAATTGGGGGCCACATCAATAGTGCGTAAACTTTGCATAGTCTCTGTCGCGGTGGGTATATTCAGGTTCTTTCTTGCCAGGATAACTTTATAGGCTCTGTAGGAGTGGCAGGGAGTACCAGGCTTCTACCAACCGAGTGTCTTCAAGTTTCACTATTCTGCCTTAAACTATACCTGTAGGATTTATTTTTGCTGGCAGATTTACCTCCCTAATTAGATTTGGCTTCAGCTAATGTTAAAATCAGTGTGTATTCCTTAGGAAGGTACCCTAACAGATGGACGGGTCTCAAATGCACACCGGGAGCTGGGGGAAGCTCATCTGAGAGGCAGTGTCAGCCATAGATAATCCTTGAGGTGCGCCATCCACCTGGGTAACTGTGAATTCACAGCCTCTGCAAGGTTCCTGGGAAGGCAGCAGGACTGATGTGGCAGATTAAGGTGAAAAAAGCTGGCAGGTCTGGCTGCTAGCCTGAGAAGGAGGGCATAGCTCATCGATTGAAAAAGTCATCGGAGCTGGCCTTGTCCAGCTCCTTCATCTTACAGACACGGAAACTGCAGTTCAGGGTGGAAAGTGACCTGCCCCCAGTCCCACAGCTGACAAACTATAGGGCCAAGAGTCAAATGCGCATCTCACGATTTCCAGTGCAGTGCCCCCATCCCACCCCCACGCTGATGTCCTGCGGCTGCCACCTGGACCTTCTCCCCCCCCCCCCCCCGAGAGTGAGAGTGGTGAGGGGGCAGGGGCAGGGGTGAGTGGGGCTGGAAAGGAGTATGGATGTGGATTATTTTGGCCACCTACTTCCTGGCGTGTTGCTTCTGCCTAGGTCTCAGTTTCCTTACCCGTAAAATGGAGAGCTTGGCTCCCGTGAGCTCTGAGTCTCCAAGGTGTACCAGGCCACAGCATTCCTCCCTGGCCACCGAGGCCTCAGAGATGGGATAGAGCCAGAGTCGAGCAGCGGAAAGCCGTGGCTCCAAGACCAGGAGGCGCCAGGGTCTGGGGGGTGGGGGAGGCAGAAGGCAGCAAAGTTAGTGCTGTGCCCTCCACCCCAGCTATTTTTACCCCAGAACACTGGACTGCAAGAGGCCTGGCTAAAAATACCAGCAGCCCAAGTCCTGAGCATCCTATCCCCAGAGAGGCAGGGTGGGGGCTGGCACGGAGGGGGTGTGGGGACGAGGAGTCTGAGGGGCACACATGCTTCTCCTTTCTGGAGATGGGGTGCCTCAGGGTACTTGGGAAGGGGATCCCTTTCCTCTAGAGAGCCCGGTAGAGAAGAGAGCTCAAGGATAAGCTTGTTTTTGTCATTTTGGCAATCCCAGCCAGCCCTGTTCTCCCCCGACACACACACATTTATTTTGCTCAATGCAATAGAGTCTGTTATAATTTTCTGTCCTGCTCTTTTTCACTTATTATTTCATAAACATTTTTTTTTTTGTTCCAGGTTTTTCTTTTTTTTCTTTTTTACCGGTTGCTTGTTTTTCCTTCCAGGCTTTTTTTCTATGCCCTGACTGTTGGGCATTTGATGGCTTCCAGTTTGTGCTTATTATTATATAAATAAGCCTGCCATGGATGTCCTTGTGCATGTGGCTTTTTCCTTCTTATTAATTATTTCTGTAAGATAAGTGCCCCGGTCGGCGGGTAAGGCTGCTTTTGTGCCGTTTGATGTGGCTTGCTTTCCAAAAGTAAATGAAGGAGGGTTAATGTAAGGATACATCCCGCACTGGGAGCCAAGTACAGTCAGGCTTCAGGGAAACCGGAGCTGAGAGCCAAGAGCAGCTGAAACAGCTGCCTCCAGCTTCTCTGCTTTCTCTGCTTCATCTTTCTCTTCCCCTATCTTTTTTATTTATTTAATTTTTTTGCCCTAGCAAAGCCCTCAGCGCTGAGAATACATTTTCTAACAATAACTGCTCACATTTTCAAAGGGCTTATTGCCAATTGCCACTTGCGAAATGCCGATTGCCTGTGTTGATTATCTTAATTTTCCCAGCCACCCTCTAGGGTGGGAATTATAATTACCCCCATTTTATAGGTGAAGAAACCAAGGCATGGAAAGACTACTTGTTCAAAAATGCAGTCAGTAAATGGTGGGAACAGGTGCCACCTGGCTGGCCTACCTCACTTCAAACAGGTATTCATGACCTATATCAGTTTCCCTGGGGAACACAGAGTTGTCAAATCCACCATTAAGAGGCCAGCTCATCGTTTCTGCGTCTCTGAGTTCAAATTCTGAAAAGGGAGAATCTGATTGGCTCAGCCTGGCCAATAGCTTGGAACCCTATAAGTCCAGGCCCAATCAGCTGTGATGGGGCGGAGTCAGGCAGAGGAAGTCAAAAGCAGACACTGAGCCATGAGGGCAGGTGGACGAGTTAACTGGATGTCCGGCATTGGACTTGGCTGGAAAATATTAAAAAGTAATGTAACTGGTATAAATGCTAAGTTATTTGCATTTAATTGGCCTTTTGGCTAAGAGCAAGTGTAACTTGTTTTTATTCATCGGGCTGAACATGTTTCCGTATGCTTCCTTTTGTGTGCATTGTCCACATTTCCTGTCCATCTTGGTCATGCTTTATATCGTACGAATATTAGTGACACACAGAACCGTGGGATGCTGCGAAGGGTTGCAGACAGGGCGAGGATGATGTTCCACTAGATGGCTTTTCTTTTGTCCTGAGGGCCTGGCAGGCTTTGAAGGGTTTCCCAACCAGTGTTTCTGAGACCCTGATTCTCCCTCTCAGCAGGCAGTTAACGTGGTCTAGACAATCTTTAACAGGGACCTCTTTAGCCAGGGGAATCTCTGAGTTTTCCCTCTCCTGTCTGGTCCCTTCTTTTGAATATGCCAACCTACAGGAGTTTTCAGGGCTCTGATTCGCTGCTCATTTGTGGCACTCGCCCCTGCGCTGTGTCCCACGTCTGCTCTTACTTGGTCTGAGGCTGCCGTCTGCCCCCAGTTCTGGGCTGACTGTGTGTATGTCTTTGCTTGCTATATCTCACTTCTCTGTGAAAGTGTGTCATCTTTCTTATAAGAAGGTAAAGATCCTCTCCCACCCTCTATACCCAGATCCAATAGGTCACAAGGTGCCCACTACTTAGCACGGACGCTTGGAGCCTTCAATCCAGGAGGGCGAAGCCTGGGAGTGATGTGCTACAAAGTGCTCTGCAGCTGGCAGAGACAGAGAAGGCTCAGGCCCGGGGAAAGACACATGTCCAGGGCAGCCAGCACGGAAGCAGGAGAAGCCTCTGTGGCAGGCACGGCAGCAACTCCCGGGTCTGCCTTTATTCTGCAGCCAGATGGCTTCTCACTGAGCCACCTGCTCCCGCAGCCAGCTGTTCCCAGCTGTGGGGGTTGGGGAGAGAGGGATGGCAAGAGGTGCTCTCTGAAGCCAGGGATTCAGGTTTACCTGTGGAGTCCCACCCATGACCTTGGCCTCTGCTGTCCAGAGCTCCATCCTAGTCCCTGGGAGCCAGCACACGCCCAGTGCTTTGGGCTGTGGTGGTTGGTTCACGGACTCCTCTTTGGAACTCGAGGTGGCTTCTAAGGGGATGCTCCTCCACCAGGCCCTGGAGATGCTCAGGGGCTTCCCATGGACAATGAAGCTGATAGAACCAATAGGAAGTGGTGCTCCTCTCTGCAGGCTGCCTAGGGAGTCGGCTAGCTTCTGCCTGTGCAAAGCCCAGGCTGCTGTCACTCATCCCCTTACATCATGAGCCACGGTTCAGGACTGCTTTTCAAATCTCTGCTCCTGATGTGAGAAATATGGGCTCTCCTAATGCTCGGGATTGGCAGACAAAGTGCCCTGGGGCTGGTCATTTATTTCCTGCCACTGAGACCACCAGTTGTTCTTTTGTACCTGTTCTCTTCCTCTTCTATGGTAATGACAGTTTTAGTCGGGTACAAAGCTCTCCACCAAGTACTATATTTTCCTGCTTCCCTTGCAGTTAGATTAGTTTATGACTAGGTCTTGGCCAATGGGATGGCAAGGAGGAAAGAGTTCCTTTCATCTTTCCCTCTTCCCACTGGCTAAAATGCAAATGTGATGGCAGGAGCTACAGCAGTCACTTTGAACCCATGATGAAAGCTGCACATTAAGGGAGGCAGAGCAACAAGAGTGAAGGAACCTGGATCCCTGATGCCATTAAGCCACCACGTCATCCCTGGACTACCTGCTTGAATGTTTATGTGTGAGAGAGATCAGTTATTATCCTGTTTAAGCAGCTATATTTTGGGGTTTCTTTGTCCCTGCAGCTGAATCTGTATACTCACTATTGCATGACTCTCAATGGAATGGCCACACCTGGGCCTCCGTGGGTATGTCTGGTTACTGCTAGCTCTGGGACCCCATGTTTCGGTAGACTTTGGTGGTCCCCAGTAGATCATCCCTAGATCATCCCTCCCAGTATTCACACCCTTGTGTGCTTCCTTCCCACAATATCTCTGAACTTGGCCATGTGACTTGCCTTGCCCAGGGAGACATTAGCAAGTGTGATATAAGCAAAGACTCTTGCATGGTGTAGCTTATTCTTTTGGAATGCTCACTTTGGGGATGTTCCTTCTCCAAACTCAACTGTCAATCTTGAGCAGCCCAACCTAGCCGTACGGAGAGGCCAACGGAGGAGAACCGAGGCCCTGCCTTCAGCTCCAGGCGACAGCCAGCAGGTGAGTGAAGTCATTTTGGAAGTGGATCCTCCAGTCTGAGGCCTCCGGGAACAGAGACAAGCTGTCCTTGCCACACTGTGTCCAAATAACGGAATCATGTTCAAATAAGTAATCGTTGTTGTTTTAAGCCACTAACTTTCAGGGGTGGCTTGTTACGCAGATAACTAGATAACTGAAACTTGTTTCTAGATAACTGAAACACATGCGGAGGGCCCAGAGCCCTTTGCATGGTCTGCAAAACCGAAAGTCCATTGTGCCTTTCTCTATACCAAAATGGCAAACGTGTCTTACTCGTTGGCACCAGAACACTACGTGGGATGGGAACTTGCTGATGCTCTGGAAATGCCTAAGGAGCGGCTACCCCTCCCTGCAGAACACGTTCCTCTGTCAAGTCCTGCCGGGCGGTCGTAGCTTGGCTTACTGCTCTGACTTGCAGCCCCAGGCCAGGCTATGGGTTCCACAGACCACACCTGCTCCCTACAAAGCTGCCAAGGTGCCCTTTTGCTTAGATAAGGGTGTGAGGGCAGTATCGGGAGGGCAAGTGCTGACTGTGCCAATGGTTTGCAGGACAGCTTGGAGGAATGATCGCATGAATGAACGAATGGCTGAGTGGGAAGTTTCTCATCTGGGAGAGGGCAGGAGGTCATGGTGAGAGGGGTGTGGGAGGGTCTCCAAGGAGGGTAGGGTCAGCAGAGAGTCTCAGATCTAATGAAAGATTGCTTTGGAAATATTTTTAACCCCTTTAAAATATAATTATAGTAGCTAACATTTATTGAGTTCTTACTATATGCCAGGTACTGTGTGAAACGCTTTATGTAAACTATTGCATTAATCATCTCAACAACCTTGACAGGTAAGTATTATAACTTTCATCCCATTTTATAGATGAGGAAACAGAGGCCCAGGAAGGTTAGGCAAGTTGCCTGCGTGCGGATGGTAAGATTTGAACTCAGACAGTCTGGCGCCAGCACCCAAGGGCATTGCTCCCACGCTCTGGCAAACAACAGGGGGCCCATTTTCCAACGTTGGAAGAAGCCAGGGCCTGGCATGCCTTAGGGAATAGGCACCAACCCCGAGTGCTCCTGGGGACTGGGAAAGCCCAGGTCAGCAGAAGAGGAGAGGGGGCAGGGAGGTGAGTCTGGGGCCCCTGTGCCAGGCAGCAGGGACATTAGCATCAGGGGTCAGAGACGGCACTGCCCGCCTGCCTGAGCACCCTCACTGGCCACGCCCACTTACTCCGCAGAAATGAGCCTGGCCCGTTCACACGTGTCCCTAATGCCAGGTTCCAAGAAAGCCACCTAAATACCTGGTATTTGAGATGTAAGGAGACCGGCTCCCTGTACTTAGCGCTATGCTAGCTTTTCCAATTATAGCGCCCTATTTTCCAAAGTCTAAAATGGACATACGGTATAACTGTCTTGGGCCCCAAGGTTTCAGAAACACCCTTAAGGTTCCTGAAATACAATTGCATATTTTAGACTAATTCCTAAAGGACCGAGAGGGGTTATCTTTAACATCTGCCAGCTCTGACACAGATCTGGTCTTTGTTTGCAAATGAGGCTGGAGCCTGGAGCCTGGGCACAAGGGAACCATTGGTGGGTCGAGGTCTGTGCTGGGCTGGGTGGGAAGACCTGAAGGCTGGGGTGGGTGTCGGGGGAGACACGGTCCTGACCTCCGGGAGCCCCAGGCTTGGTGGAGGAAGCAGGACCCATACAGAAACCCAGCAGAGGACCTTGGGGCGTTTGTGGAGGGTTTAACTGCTGCTGGCTGTGCTGTCACCTGGTGGGCAGGTGGCAGAGGGAGGCAGGTAGGGAGGCTCCTGCCCGTTTGCGTGCCTGGAGGCAGGCGGTGTAGGTAGGGGGGGCAATGGAGCTGAACTTTAAACACTGGAGCCAGTGTGGCTTCAGGCCTGCCAGCGGGGGCATTTTCTGGTCAAACCTGACTGTCGTTTTTAAACATTTATTATGCAATGGAGATGTGCTTTTCTGGTCTCCGCGTTTGGCCAGCAGACTTGGTGAGTAAATGGACTAGAACTAATCCTGCAGCTAAACAGCAAGGGCTTCAGAAAGTCAACGCCTCACTTGCCTAATAGCTCCCAGGGAGGGGCACGATATAAAGTATCAGCCCTTAAACTGCCCTTTTTCCTGAGATGGGGAAGCAGCGGCTCAGCGGCCAGGCCTCCTGAAACTTCTGTGAACAAACAGGGGACACAGCTGACTGTGGAGCTTGTTAGAAGATCAAGTGCTTTAAGTTTGAGGATGTCCCATGCGGGGGACGGACTCCCGGCCAAGCATCGGGAGAGCTGGGTTCCTGCCGGCTCGGAACTTAACTGGCTGGCCATCACTGCAGAAATCCGGCAGACCGTCTCTTTTCCCTGGAGGCCAGAGAAGAGTGGACAAAGCTCAGGAACTGAGGATACAGGGCTCCCAAACAAGGCTGAGACTTAGGAAACAGGGTCCCCCTTATTCACTTACCCAATTAATTACCAGAGAAGGCCAAAGGCGCCTGGGCAGCCACCTGGAGGGAGCCACTCTGGGCCTGGACAGATACCAGAGAGCAACCAGTACCTTCCGGCTCCTGGAACCTCTTGCCTGGCAGCGCCAGCCCCTCACTCCATGTGAGTCTGGCAGTCACCCAGATTGGGTCCCCAAAGGGTCAGTGAAGCGTGACCTGTGGGACTAGCCAGGCTATTCCTTTCTGGGGCAGGAAAGCAACCTAACCTGACTCTTTCCGCAGAGAAGGACTGGGCAAAGGGGCGTGTCTGGGTCTGGATAAGTTTCCTTCCCAGACTGGGGCTTTGGTGCTAGGACGATTCACTAGAACGTACATTCCATGAGGACAGGGATTCTGGGCTGCCTTGCACACTGCTTCCATCCCTGGGGCCTAATATACAATGCCTGGCACATAGTAGGTGCTCAATAAAAAAAAATCACCGAATTAATTAGAATTCATTTTCCTTTTCAACACCAATTCCATCTTCCAACACCAACTCATCTCCTACCTAAAGAGTAGCTCCTTGATAAAGCTTTCCTACTTCAGTGACGGCTACTCAAAGGCAGTGAATATAAAATTAATTTGCAAATATAATCCATTGATTCCCAACAACTGGCTATTCTGAAGGGAAAAAATAACAAATTTACATGATTATTGTTGTGTAGCAAGCCCCATGCTAGTTTCTTAACAGACATTATTATGGCTTAATCCTTTAAGGAAGGCCCTGTTTTACAAACATGAAAACTAAGGCCTGGGAAAATTACATAGTTCCCCCGAAGTTGCACCACTAGGAAATTGCAGAGCTGGGATTTGAACCCATTTCTGACTCAAACCCTCCTCTGACTCTTTTTTTTTTTTTAAATTTCGTGAAATTATTATTTTCCCAACTAGTTTTGTGATTCAAAAGGTAATTCTGCAAAGACCTGTTTAGCTCCTGTGTGTGCAAGAAGCCCCAGCCCCGATCAGTCTGGAGCCAGCAGGCTGAGGGACAACAGAGTGCCGGGCCTGATTGCACAGTACTCATGGCGACAGTTGCCCTAGTCTGCCCAGGGCTGCAGTTCCCAGCCAACGCTGGCCCTGCTAGTCCTCAACTTAGTGACACCTGCTGTCCAGACCCACAAGGGATTATCCCACAGAGCGAGTGCACGACAGATTGTCAGAAAGTGATCTCTCCACGTGCTGCGTCCACAGCCATGCATGAGTTCCCAGAGCTGGAAAGTGCCTGGAAGGCACCTCATCTGGCCCATGGTCATCTCTCTGCTGCGGAATCGCTGACAGAGGATCCCTGAGTGTCCCCTACCGACCGTGGGGATGGGGGCAGCTCCTTCTGCCTTGTTCCTCCGTACAGTCTTCCTCCCCAACTGAAAGGACTCAGCCTGCAGCACTGCCCGTCTCGGAACCTTGTGTATTTGCTGAAACACGCTCCGTGGTTGTTCCCATGTTACTGCGCCGTGTGTACATGTATCAGCCCCCATTAGCGTGACCCCCTAGTGCGCACCAGGCACCGGCCAGAAGTTACTTCTAATCTACACTTGAACCGCCGCCTGCATCGAATGCTACCTGCACTGGGAAGCTGAGGCTTGGGCTCGGGGAGGTCATGAATCTCGCCCAACATCACTAAACTCGTGAGTCTCAGAGGCAAGATTTGAATCTAGGGCTGTCAGCCCCAAAAAAGTTCACTCAGCCAGTCTTTCCTAAAACTAGCGGTTTATCCACATTTGCTGAGAAGCTTTTAAAAAATACATCGTCTTTACAGCAAAGCTGTGAGAAAGAACGGGGCAGCTCTCTATGCATGGATATGGCTCGTGTGTGTGTCTAGAACATCTCCAGGAAGAAGGCGAGTAACTGGCCACCACCGGCCCCAGGGGGTGGTCTCCACGGGGACACAGGGGTTGGAGGGAGACTTGGTTGTCACTCTATTCTCTTCACTACTGCCTGCCTGCCTGCCTTTTTCCCCTCTGTTTTCTTCACCTTTTCAAAAATATATGAAAATTGTTTATTTATTTGTTTGTTTGTTTTTGAGACAGAGTCTTGCTCTGTCACCTGGGCTAGAGTGCAGTGGTGTCATCATAGCTCAGACTCAGCAACCTCAGACTCCTGGGCTCAAGCAATCCTCCTGCCTCAGTCTCCCGAGTGGCTGGGATTACAGGCATGGGCCGCCACATCTGGCTAACTTTTTCTATTTTTAGTAGAGAGAAGGTCTCACTCTTGTTCAGGCTGGTCTCGAACTCCTGACCTCGAGTGATCCTCCCGCTTTGGTCTCCCAGAGTGCTAGAATTACAGGAGTGAGCCACTGCGCCTGGCTTAAAAAAAATGATTTTTAAATCAAACAAAAATATATTAATAGGCTCCAGGACCCCATTGTCAGACTGCCTCTGAATCTGGGCCTCCAGGCTGGGGCCTGGGAAGCTGTATTTTAACCATGCCCTAGGTAGGCGCTGGAGCCCGCTGATCCCAGACTCCTAGGGGCCAGGACCCAGCCTCCTCTCACCTGCATTTCCCCTCGTCCCCTGGTCCTGGGGCTGGTCCAGAGCTCTGTGCTGCCAGCTCCAGGAGGGACTGAAGCCTTAGACAGCTGCGTGGCCCTTTCTTCAGTGGCTCCTCAGGGACTTTTTCTGGTCGGATGTTTTGAGCCCCAGCCCTGCGAACACTCTGTGTCCCATGGGCTTGCTACCGCTCAGAGGTCACGGCCACACTTGGGCCTGGCCTGCTGCTCCTCAGACTCCCGCCGTCCTGCCGCAGAGCCTTCAGCCTGCAGGTCCACGTGACTACTGCTCCCTTTCGTCAGCGGCGGCCTCCTGACCACACTGCTCTGCTCCTTGGCCTTTTCACTTCCTAACACATCTTGGAGACCTGTCACGGTCCCACGCCAGGGCACGGAGAGCGGCAGAGCATTCTCTGTGTCACGGTGTTAGTGTCCACCCGGGAGCCAGTGGGGCGGCAGCGACCACAGAAATTCCGGAGCCCTGCTGTGCTACACTTGGCTGTGTGACCTGGGCCGGCTTTTTTTTTTTTTTGAAACAGAATCTGGCTCTGTTCCCCAGGCTAGAGTGCCGTGGCGTCAGCCTAGCTCACAGCAACCTCAAACTCCTGGGCTCAAGCGATCCTCCTGCCTCAGCCTCCTGAGTAGCCGGGACTATAGGCATGCACCACCATGCCCGGCTAATATTTTCTATATATTTTTAGTTGTCCAGCTAATTTCTTTCTATTTTTAGTAGAGACGGGATCTCGCTCTTGCTCAGGCTGGTTTCGAACTCCTGACCTTGAGCCATCCTCCCACGTTGGCCTCCCAGAGTGCTAGGATTACAGGCGTGAGCCACCGCGCCTGGCCTTGGGCGGGTTTTTGATCTGTGTGATGTGAGGACGGGATTGGGACACCTAGAGCTCTTTGGGTAATGCCTGGCACGCAGGACACGAGCAATGCATGTTCGCGATGATCACGGCAATCGCTAGAATCTCTGCGGGAAAGGGGGGGGGGGGGGGGGAGGGGGGAGAAAAGGAATATAAACGTATTTATTGCCAGCGATCTGTACACTTAAAAATGGTAAAGATGGCAAATTACATATGTATATATTTTACTTCAATAAAAAAAAAATTGAAAAAAATAAAAACCTCAGCAGGAAGACTAGGAAGGGGTAATCAGGGTCCTGGGCTCTGGAGTTGCACAACTGGCTTCCAATCCCATTCTGTGTCTCTCTAGCTCTCTTACTCACTAGCCTCTAATGCCTCAGTTTCCTCATCTGTCAGACGAGGAAGACTCCTACCTCACAGGATGGCGGAGGACGGTGTCTGGTGCCAAACAGGTGCCCCCAACTCATCCGTAGCAGGAACAATGGCATGAGGGTGGGGCAGAGGAGGGTGGCGGGCGGAGCACGGGACGCCTCCCTCTCTTTGCCCCTTTGCTGTCCCAGCTGGCAGCATTGGGTGGGGGGTTGGGGGGAGCGGGTCGTGCCCAGGGGGAATGTAGCCCGAGGGAGACCCCGGACTGCCCAGTATTCATTATGAGGGGGTAAGCGGCCTGCCACCCATGCCCGCCATGTGCCCGTCAAGGCTCAGCACGCCGATTTCCTGTTGAGAACTGGGACCACAGGAAGCCGGCCGCCACCAGAAGGCACGCCACTCACATGTGGGAGCAAACTTCACCTCAAGGCTAGAAAGTCTCCTTGGCCTCACAGTGGGCTGTGAGAACGCCTAGGCCAGGGGTGAGGAGCGTTTTCGTGCTGGAAGGCCGCCTTAAGTTAGCTGGAATCCAATAAGGCCGCATTCAAGAAAGTCCAGTTGGACATACTTAAAAATGCACATTAATTTGGAAGGCAGCCATGCTCACCACTATACCACCAACGCAATCAATATTTTGTAAAAATCTGACTACTGTGTACTTAACAACTTCAAAAATGAAAACTATTTGTTAATTTTTTAGAGTTAACTAAGCCTTTTAATGACTTTGTTGTGTCTGCTTTTTGTTGGAAGGCATCTATCTGAATATTTGGTTGCAGTGTGGAGGTCTGCAGTTTCAGTTGACCCTCTAGATGGGTTTAAGTTGCTACTTTAGAAGTTGCTTCGCTGGTATTATTTCCAGGTCTTACTGCTGCTTGAAAGAATTGTCTCTGCTTCTGCTTTTCATCTTTTAATTTCTGCAATACAGCCTTTCGTGCCTCTCCCTCTAATTTAAAATATTTGTGGTCCTTATGAGTGTTACAATGATGATGAGCCTTGAATTCCTTTAATGTTGATATTGCAGTATCATGAAGCAAGCACATCATCTTATCTTTAGCAGAAATGAGATAATATTGCAATTCCAATCTTCATTTAAAAATCTGGTTTCTTCCTTCGGCGTTGTTTTGGTCTTCTTTGACATGAAGGCCTGTTAAGCAGACAGAATTTAAAAAAATACTGTTGAGCTGTGCAACTATTCGCAAATCCCACTTCAAACAGAAACATGGTGAACAGTCTTCAAAAGCTGGGGACAGACTGGCGTGCTCGAGCCCCGTAAACTCTCACCAACCAGCCTCATGGGGTAGTGGCGCCAGCCAGGCAGGGAAATTATAACTGAATCATGAACGTAGCAGCGACCGATTCAGCCCTTATGGCCTACTAATGTTCTAATTGTGCTGGTCAATCTGGGAGGATTCTTTTGTTGAAACTCATTTTATTCTTTGGTATTTTAAATATGTTCATTTGCAAAATAAAATGAAAATATAAAAGACGAACAAAAAATGTAGTAATAGAAATTAAAAGATTTGTTCTGTAAAATTTGGATTCAGTCAAAAGGCCACACTTAAGGACCTAAAAGGCCACATGTGGCCTTAAGGCCACAGGTTCCCAACCTCTGGTTAGACTCAGGGACAGCAGAGAAAGCAGAAAAATGGCACGTGTGCTGTGTCCATGGGCCTGGGCTCTGGCAAGCCCCACTCACCAGCCTTAGAGGAGCCACCAGCCATGCCTCCGTGGTCCCTCGTCTGTGTCTGAATGAACCCCTTCTGACACTGCAACCTTTCTTTAGCAGGGGCATACTTTTTTCTCCCTGATCAAAGCAGGAAAAGTGGCCGTCCCCAGCCCCTCACCAATGGGCTTGCTTTCCATAGGACCAGTGAGTGTTAGTCCCTCCACTGTCAGGTGTCATTCACTTGCTTGTGTCTTAGTTTAGTAGTAATTTATCAGTCTGAGCTCCCCTTAATAGACTGACAATCCCATGAGGGTTGGGAGGCAAGCTCCTATTCCTCTTAGTATCAGTACTAGAGATTAGATCAGTGAAGCTCAATGCAGCGCTGTAATTACTGGTATCTACAAAGATACTGACAGAGGGACAGGACAGTAGCTAGAGTACTGAGCTCACCCAACGGAGCAGGCACCGTATCAAGCACTGTCCCAAGCACTTCAGGGGTATTCATTCGCTCATTTCATCCTCACAACAACCTTATGAGACCAGTGCTCTTATAATCTTCATTTCTAGAGAGGAACTGAGGCACAGAGCAGTTGGGTAACTCGTGCAAGGTCACACCTAGCAGGTGACAGGATTCAAACCCTAGCATTCTGGATCCAGAATCCACTTCCTACCACACCTCGAGCACTCAGTGAGCGTTTGTGGAGTGACTGAGTGACCAAGGGAAGTGCAGACAGGCAGGTACACCAGGGGGAGGGCTGAGGCTCTGACTGGCAGTGGGGACCAGGCCTGGGCTCCTGGACTGATTTGGGGGTTGAAGTCAGCAGCCTGGCATCCGAAGGCCTCTAGGCGCTGGCTCTGCCTTGCTTTCTACCAACCACCTGGCCCCACACCGGCTGCCCAAACAGGACTCGGTTGCTAGGGCCCTGGCAGGGAGGCCTGACCTTATAATCCCTGCCTCCCCTGGGAACCCGCCCCCCTGGCCATGTCCATCAGGGTCATCTCGTGTGGCCTGATTGCTTCCCCTCCACCCTCTCCTTCCTTGTACTCCTCACTGAGGTGGGCCAGGCCTAGCTCTCTTCCCTCATCCTGCTTCTTCAGGCCTTCTTGAATAATTAGTGGTTAATTACTAATAGTCTAGGGTCAGACTGCCTGAGTCCCAGCCCTGGCTCTGCTATGTGGCCTTGGGCATATTGCTTGACCTCTCTGGGCCTCATTTCTCCATCTTTAACATGGAAATCAAAACAGACTATTGTAAGGATTGGCGTGAGGATTAAATGAGTGAAAACATTTAAAGAGCCTGAGGTCTTCTGAGGCAAAGAGCCTCAGAAGAGCTGTACATCTCAAACTGCATATACGTTTCGGTGAATATTATTATATTTCTTCTTACTCACTTATTTAAATTGATGACAATGCAGCCAGTGCAGGGTGAGGGGAGAGATCCCCAGGACAGATAAAGCACCAACATCCCTAGTCTGGCTTCTTTGGAAAACCAGAGCTGAGCTGCCAGGGTGCTCGCTCCCTTGTGCTTGCTTAAAGTCATTGCTGGGTTAGGGCGAGAGAGTGAGAAGTCCCCTCCCCAGACACCTCAATGCAGGAGGCCGTATGTGGCTGCTGTCCCCTCTGCTGAGACAGACAGCCAACGTCATCGTCCGATGCTTAAAGCTCAGCTCTATAGGACCACAAGGCACGGTTTCCTACTTGATTATTTAAATGGATTTAGTTTTATTTTCTGTAGTCTTTGTCATAGTTGTTTATGCACAAAAAGAGTCACATAGGGCCGGGCGCGGTGGCTCACGCTTGTAATCCTAGCACTCTGGGAGGCCAAGGCGGGCGGATTGCTGGAGGTCAGGAGTTCAAAACCAGCCTGAGCAAGAGGGAGACCCCGTCTCTACTATAAATAGAAAGAAATTAATTGGCCAACTAATAAATATAGAAAAAATGAGCTGGGCATGGTGACACATGCCTTTAGTCCCAGCCACTTGGGAGGCTGAGGCAAGAGGATTGCTTGAGCCCAGGAGTTTGAGGTTGCTGTGAGCTAGGCTGATGCCACGGCACTCACTATAGTGTGGGCAACAAAGTGAGACTCTGTCTCAAAAAAAAAAAAAAAAAAGTCACATAGTTCTCTGAGGTTCCTTAGGCACACAGCAGTCTCACTGAACAGAAGTGACCACGTTCACTTGTGGTGACAGAGGCTTCTAGGGTTGGCTCTCTCCCATGCTGTGCCTGCCCACGGCTCAGTGCACCCCGCCCCCCACCCGTAATCCCTATGTCATTCTGGTAAGATGGGAACAGAACATGACCTTGTAAAAGCAGTGACATCGAGGGTTGAGCCATTTAGTAAACTGTGATTGGTTTTCTTTTTTCCCCCTTTGCACAACTTTCTATCCTTCCTGGAATTTATTATGGCCCTTTTTGTTGTTGTTTATCTGATTTTCTATGTACTTAGAACTAATTCAATGGCTTCTCCCTCTCTGCTAATAATAACAGCTGACTCCTGCTGGCCACTTTCTGGATGCCGGCCACCGTTCTGAACACTTGCCATGTGGTAACACATTTTAGTTCTTATAATAGCCCTCTGAGGTGTACACTATTGTGATCCCAATTTACAGATGGGTAAATTTAGGCACAGAGAAGTTAAGTGACTTGCCTACAATCCCGGAGCAAGTATATGGCAGAGCTGGGATTGGAACCCAGGCTCTTCACACTGAGGGGGCCTGTGCCTACCTGGCCTCTCCTGGCCTCTGGGAGTATATCTTCATACCAATCTTCTCCAGACCCTTCCTCATCCTCCCACTATTTTCTGGGTTCAGTCTCATCTCCGCACCTCAAATGTAAGCTCAGTGTGGGCCAGCCCCGTCCTGCTTTTCTGCAGTCCTGGTGGCAGGGCTGGACCTGGCGGGCCCTCTCGTGCTTACCGTATCGGTCCTGCGTGGGCTGCCGGGCTGCCTGCTTGTCCTCATGCTCTTCTCCCTGGGCCTTAGATGCAGGGGACAGGGCAGGGACCACCGCTGGTTAAAGCACAGCTGGGCCTACGGAGACTCAGAAAGGCCAAAATCAGTGCCATAAGGCCTCATGGCCAAGGGACTGGGGTTCGAACCCCCTCCTTCAGCTGCCAGTCCAGGGATGTTCCAAATGTGTTGGGCTGCCTCCTACAGGCACAGGCACATACACACCATGCATGCTACACACACAAACATATACATACATTATTCACATATACCTACTGTGCACACACATTTCCATATGGGCACGTTATATACACATATGTATAGACACAATTGCATCTTATATACACATACACAGGCATACACACATGCTCACATAATACACATACATGCCACTTATACACAGATGCATTAAAGCCACAAACACATACTACCACACAGAAACACATCATAAAAACACATACATACCTTATTTACAAACACAAAACCATGTATGCTATAGATTCACACGGACACAAGCACACAGCATATACACAGATCGCACAGACAAAAGCACACACACAAATATGTGAATATAGACCTGTACACACATAAATATACCGGTCATATATGCATGATACATACAAACACAGTCATGCAAACATACGCACATATTTTTCACATACAAAAGCGTATAAACACATCTGCACAAAATGTGCAAAGAAACACATACGTACACAAAATCACGCCCATCCGCAGATGCAAACACTCGAATAAGCACACTCACATCATATGCACAAAGGTACATACACACGTGCATGTGTGTGCATACACCTGTGTATGCCTGCCTGGCCTGGTTTATAGTGGGAGTGATGGGCGAAGGCCCGTGATACTGAGTCTTACAGGTGTGGGACTAGTTGGGGTGAGCATGTTTCCTGACTCTCCACTTGGGTTTGCATCCTAGAGCACCTTCCTTGAACAGAGCTGGGACAGGGCTGGGTCAGCCCTGCCTACGACATCAGCAGGGTGGGCCGAGGGGTGTTGTCTGAAAATTCAAGTACGCATTCCCCCGCCCGTGGAGACTTGTGCGTCCCCCAGACCCCTGCCTTGCTCTGGGGCCCCACCCAAGGTTAGCACTGGCCACACTCCCAGGCAGGCCCAAGAAGCTGCGAGACTAAGCCCTTTAACAGATGAGAAAAAGGCTTGGCCAAGCAAGTTAAATGTTGTGAACGTCAATTTAAGGAGACAAGGATTCTGATCCGGTCTGTTAGACTTCCAAGCCACCACACCGTGCTGATCCACCCCTCTGAGAGTCTGGGATTCTCAGCCTGGGGCGGTGCACACAGTAGGTGCTATATCATCCTGGACAAATTCATCACTTTGGAGGACAGAAGCACTGTAGAGGCTGGGGTCTGACATGTGCTGGGGGTATTTGTCAGGCCTAGAACTCGGAGGCAATGCAGAGACCCTCTTCGTGTTTGGGGATCTTGCCGTTATCAACTCCAGCCCGGGGGCTCCCAGCCTCATTGTCTGCTGGGGGTGAGGGACCACCTGCCCAGGGAGGCCCCCAGAGGCCCAGGCTTGCTTCTCCCTCTCCTCCTTGGCCTCCTCCCTAGCCTGTTCTCTCCGCCACCCCCCGCAGCCCCCAGATGCATTCCTATCCCGCACACATTCGTTTCAAGGGCTTGGCGATTTCTTTGCAGGATTTGATTTGCCGCTCAGGCATTTCCTCGAATGGCCCCTCGGTGTTTGCCCTGCTCCAGATGGCATCCAGATGCAAACATCCCCCTCCCTGGCTCCGGCTCCGCAGCGAGGGGAACCGAATCCTGACCCCCACTTCACACCCGCCTCCCTGCACCCTCGGCTTTGTTTCTTGGGTCTGAGGTCAGGCCACGGACCAACACCTCTGCCTGGGCTCCTCCAAAGCAGGGCTTCTGCCTCCCTCCTTGGCCTTTGTTCAATTCCACAGGTAATTGCTCCCGAGCCAAAGCAAATGTCAGTCAGCACGCTAGTGAGGGAGATATCACCAGCACGTGGGCCTGGCTGCGGGAGGGGGAAGAGCCGGTGTGCGACTGGGTCGAGAGAGCAGGTGCTGAGAGCCCACACCTCCCGCCGAGGTCCTTAGCGAGGACCCAATCCAGGCGAGGAAGCCGAGGTCAACAGATGACAGCCACGCTGACGGGACCAGTGTCTACGTGCTACCACAATGTAAAGACCAGCTCGTTTAGTCCTGTGAGCTGGGCATGATTATCCCCATTTCCATTTATAAAATACTGTGTGTGCCAGGCCCCACGCAAAGAACAGCTGACTCAAGCTTTGGGACACCTTGAGAGCTGGACATCATTGTCCCCATTTCATAGACAAGCTAACTGAGGCTCAGAGAGGTGTAGTCACTCACACAAGGCCACGTGGCTTCTTAAATGTCAGAACATAGCTCCAAACCAAAGGCTTCCAGAGCCCCCGGGGCCTCCGGGCCTCCCGTGTGCCCTGACTGCCTCAGCGGCAGGGCCAGACCTTCGGGAGGCTGTCCCCAGAGCCCTGTCCTGGCACAGTGACCACCACCCTGGTGGGAAACGTCTTGAGGGCCTGGGGGACAGTCCTGGGTAGGAATTCCTGGGGAGCCGCACTGTTCCGCAGGGGCCAGCCTCTCGGCCTCCCAACTCTCTGTTGGTGCTGGACTCTTGACCCGGTGGCAGGACTAGCTCTTGGCCACCCAAGAGAGGTGAGTGACCTCTGCTCAAACCCTCTGCTTCCCCTTAAAAGTTAATATTTACACACTCTCTGCCATGTCCCGTTGTTGCTGCCATGGATATCAAAGTGCTCCCTGGCCCCAGAGACACCCCCGGGACCCCTAAATCCTTCTCGGACTCCAGGTGGGGCCCCTTGACCCTCGAGCCAGCTGGAGTGACAGGCCGTGCCCAGGTGGACCGTGCTCTTCCCTGTGAACAGTCAAGCTTCCTTGACAGAAAATGGGGCATTTGGCACAGGCTCAAGGCCACCGTGCGGGCGTTTCCTAGAACCACTGGGCACCGGACCCCACAGGCTTGTGACGAGCCAGGGCTATGGGTCAGGCTCTCCCAGCCCGGTGCCTCAGGCAGCTGTGGGGACGGCCGCAGTAGCACCCGCTTGGTAGTCCCTGCTGGGCCTGAGGTGTGTGGGTGAAGCCATCTGGGTCTGCAGGAGGAACACCCTCCTGTCTAGCCTCCCCAGCCCCAGAAAACAGCAGAGCTGGCATGCAGGGCAAGTTAAGGACAGGCATGGGACTTCCGCCTGCCTGCCTCTCCCCAGTGCCTCCTCCCGGGAGCCTCCCGGGGTGCTAGGGGGCGGATGCCAGCGTTGGCCAGACTCCATCCTCTCCCACTCCCTTCCCTCTCTGCCTGTCTTCCTTCTTTCTCTCTGGACTCTGAGCCCGGCTTTGCAGTAGAAGGGAAAGATCTGCAGGGAAGAACCCCAGGCTGAGTCGGAGGGAGGAGCATCCCTGCAGCTGGCCAGACCTGTGTCCTCGGGCTGGGGTCCTCAGGTGGGTGCTTACTTGCTTTCTGAAGAATCCCTGCTGAAAGCATGTGGGCGAGTGTGTCTGAGAATTTTATTGGTGGCCAGAGAGAGAGGACACCGCCATCAGCTGCGTGTTGGTGGCCAGGTAGCCTGGGAAGGGACACTGTGGCCAGCATGCCAGGCAGGTTAATGTTTGACCTGGAGCCACGTGTTTTCCACCGGGTATTTTTATCCTCTGTACCTGGCAGTGGGCAGCTGTGGATGGAAGAGGGAGGGGGGAGGGGCCCGGCTGGGGTCCCGCCGGGCAAGGGGGTGCTGCAGAGGCCAGAGGGGCTGGCTGGGGGTGAGAAGCAGGGGAGGAAAAGCATGAGCAGGGACCTGGAGCAGCCGGCTGGCTCTCCACCCCCAGCTACAGCCCTGCCCTACCCTGGGGCTAGCCCTGGCTCCCTTCTCTCCAGGAGGACTGGCAGAGGTGAGGGCAAGAAAAAGATGAGGAGGAAGACACTTCCAGGGGTCCACAACTTCTCAGGATAGCTTAAAATGCCCCCATGTGCGCCCAGATTGTCCTCATTGGTAATGAGCCACTCTCATGTCCTAGACACCGTAAGTTAGAGATTTCTCCCTTCTGGGGATGCTGTGGACTCATTCTTTTTTTTTTTTTTTTTTTTTTTGAGACAGAGACTCGCTTTGTTGCCCAGGCTAAAGTGAATGTCGTGGCATCAGCCTAGCTCACGGCAACCTCAAACTCCTGGGCTCAAGCAATCCTCCTGCCTCAGCCTCCCAAGTAGCTGGGACTACAGGCATGCGCCACCACGCCCTGCTAATTTTTTCTATATATTTTAGTTGGTCAATTAATTTCTTTCTATTTTTAGTAGAGACGGGGTCTCGCTCAGGCTGGTTTCAAACTCCTGACCTCGAGTAATCCACCCGCCTCGGCCTCCCAGAGTGCTAGGATTACAGGCGTGAGCCACCTCGCCCAGCCTGTGGACTCATTCTGATGGTGGGAGTTAATCATAGCAGACTGAGACACCCCCTGCCTCCACCCACATGGCTACCCTGAAACCCCCCAGTCTAGGAGGTAGGGGCTGTGTCTCAGCTCATCATAAGAGCTTTGTGTATCTGCAAACAAGAGGCCTAAAACTGGATTTAAAACACCCACTGGGTCTGCAGAGCTCTGGGCTTCCCCAGCCCTCACCGCCGTCTCTCTCCGTCCTCCTCCTTGGCAGTGGGGAGCCCGGCCTGAGCTGACTCTGCAAGGCTGTTTACAGCCCAGTGGCCAGAGTCCTTCTCACTCACGATGAGGGCACAGGGGAGGGAGGCCCACGAAGGCCACGCAGCCCAGGGCCAGCCAATGCCATGGTGACAGCCAGGCAAAGCCAGCTTCCTCCCTGTCCCCTCCACCAGGTCCAGATGGGCTTTGAAGGTGTGGCAGTGGCTCCATGGGCACGCTCACTGACACCCCCAGATCACCACTGGCTCCCTGGCCCCGACACTCACCAGAGCGGGCTGAAGCGGGCGTGGCAGGCTGGCCCGCAGCCCGGGGTCCTTCTAAGGGCTCCCTGAGGGTGTCTGGGGGGGAGGATCGAGGCTGTGTGGGGATTGGCCAATGACAGTCGCCAGGTTAGCAGGGATGAGGTTGGCCAGAAGAGCACAGATCTCCAGGGAGGGCTCCCAGTTCTCTCTTAGCCTCCCAGGATTGCCTTGAAAGTGGGCGCAGGAGGGGGGCTGGGGAGTAGAGTGGGGCGCACCTCTCCGTCTGGACTGGAGCCCAGGCCGTCTCCAGCTGTGGTGACCAGTCCCCACTGGGGGACTGAGCTCCCCGCTCCCAACCTACCTCCCCACAGCTCTTCCCTCCCACTACACCCTAAACCCTGGCCTGCGCAACCTGCTCACCTGTCCTCGGCCGCCTCTCCACTCCCTAGAATGGGCCCGGCACTGGGCGAGGGCCGTTCGCCTGCACGGCCTCCCTCACTCCTCAAAACGCCATGGGTGGTGGGCCTCTGCACCCCCATTTTACAGATGAGGAAACTGAATAGAAGCATCATGGAACCGCTTCCCCAAGGTCACACAGCCAGTCAGTGCCCTGGCTGGATTAAACCTGAATCAGTCCGGCTCCAAATCCAGCCAAGAGAGTATGTCAGTCATGTATCCTGTGTGTCCCATGCTCCACGTCACCCCACTCTACCCCATCCGCCTGATCGGAGGGAGGGTTGAATGTCATCAGCTCCTACAACCCGCCATCTCATATTTCTCACCTTCCTGGAGTCTAACCTCATGCCTCCTGCTGTCTCTTACCCTGAAATCAGGGAAGGTGGGAGCAGAGATGGTCCCCTAACCCTGCCCCATGGCCTGTTTTTGTGTCCCCATGGGACTGTGGCATTTCTCTGTGACTCTGGAGGTTGAGTTGCTCCTGGACGCTGAACTGGGGGAGGAGGGGACTCTGGCCTTGTGCTGGGAGATGCAGGTGCCCTCTTGGGCCACCTTGGAGAGGAGACTTGGGCCCTGCCTTCAGACCCTACCGTTTCCTACTGACTCCAGGATGGGTGAGGAGTCAGGAGTCAAAATAAAGGTGGGGACTTTGGAGACTCTCAGAAGGTTCTTGGCTTCTGATGGTGCTGGATTCTTTGGGACAATTCGAGGCTGTGCCGCTGGGGGCACCCAGAAGTCCTGGGGTCTGGAAATCCCCACCCGGCCCCCACATACCTACTGCCCTTGGCCTTTGTCTGTGGAAGGAGGTGAGGGGAAAGGACACAGGCTTGCACCGATTCCCTGAAGCCAAGTTCAGTTCCTCCTCTGGGTGAAACGGAAGGGGAATTCCAAAGACCCAGCTCAGGGCCGTGGCGTCGCACCCAGACCTTCCATTTCTTAGAAGCCCGCCGCTTCTGGTGGGCCCTCCTGACCTCTGGCTTCATGGCTGAGTTTGGCAGATGGGGCCATCGAACCCCGGTGTTCAGAGACTGGTGTTTGGAGAGGGGGGTGGGGAGACACCATACGACTCCTCGGCCCAGGAGATTGGAACGGAGGAAGCTCCTTGACCCTGAGCCCATCAAAGCCGCTCTCTCGGGTTGCCTTGCCCTGCCTCTCGCAGCCCACCCCTTTTCAAGAAGGGTGACAGTCCCACCACCACCATGGGGAGAGAAGCAGCCTGGGCTGGGCTGCCACCTGGGGCATCTCCCGTCCTTGTCCTCCTCCAGGCGTTCCGAGTCTCCCGCACTCCAGTGCGACGTCCGTGAACACCAGCTTCCTCCGTCCTGGGCTGGGACCCAGGAGAGACTCAGAGCAGGAGCCGGCTGAGGCCCTACCCTCGAGACACTGCCGTCGGCGGGACACATGGTCACGCCGCAGGTTACAGCCAAGGAGAGCAATAATAACAGCTCGGGAGTGGGCTGAGCACTTCCATAATGGGACACTTCCTGTATATTAATGCGTTTAATCCCGTAACCACTCTAGAAAATTGGTACTGTCATACACCTACATTCTACAGATGAGGAAATCGAGGCCCGGAGCGGCTGAGTAACTGGCCCAAGGTGTTCCAGGCAGGAAGTAGCAGAAGCAGGACCGGAACCGGGTGGTCTGTCCCAGAGCCTGCGCTCTTGCCCTCCACACCTGTGCCTCCCAGTACCATGGCCACTAAAAGCATGTGACTCTTTAACTCCGAATTCATTAAAATGAACTGCAATCACAATTCTGTCCTTCAGTCGTGCCAGCTGCCTTTAAGTGCTCAGTAGCCACAGGTAGCAAGTGGCGGTCATACTGGACCATTCAGATGTTAAACATCTCCATCATTGCGGAAACTTCTACTGGACAACGCTGGTCTCCACTCTGCTGCTTCTGACGGAGCGACGGAAAATCATCCTTCAGTTGGTAGACTGAAATAATAACCAACGACAATGATAACAACAGCTGGAGTTTACTGAGAGCTTCCTCCATGCCAGGCGCAGCGCCAAACCCATAATCCTTACCCAATCCCGGGCTCAGGAAGGTAACTCAGGGTCACAGTAGCCAGGAAGTGAATCCAGGTCTGCCTGGTCCCAGAGTCCAGTCCACTCTCCCGTCCCCTCCTGCCCCACCCCCGGCCAGAGTTTACAGTCCCCTGGGGGAAGGAGGGGAAGGCAAGTACATGACATTTCACAAGACCAGGGATTAAATAAATCAGCACATAATTAACATCATCACATCTCCCCAAGCCTGGTGACCAGAACATTGCGTTAATGAGGTCAAGGTCTTGATTTGGAGCCTGTGAGCATCACATCACTTCACTTCATGGGAGAAAGCCTCGATCCCGGCCCTGAGGGCAGCCCCGGGCGTTGGGACTAGAAGGCAGGACGGGTGTGGATGTCACAGGACAGCCTGTGGCCCGCTATCAGAGGCTCAGCGCAGGGCTGGGCTGGGCTGGAGGCCAAGAAGAGTCCTGTTAAATGCTGGTGGGTATGCGTCTTCTGGACAATTGGGGATCCAGAAAGTAGGATGGGGTTAGCAGACAGCAAAGCCTGAGTTTGAAGCAAAGATGCAGCAGAAGGTAGAACAGAGCTTTTGAGACGTTCTTTCTCTTCCTAGAGTAAAACTTTTCAGGTGACATTGTGGAGACATTATTCACGGGTTTTTGAAGGCTGGGCTTGGGTGGTGAGATCTGCCTTTTGTGTCATGTAAGGACTGTTCCGTGGTTGGGAAAGTTAGACCAATTATATGTCAACCCCCACATGGAGTCTGCGGAGAAAAGGCCCAGGGAGTGGCGGGGTAGATGCTCAGCAGAGAGCAGGACAGGCCCGAGGAATACGTGAGCCTAGCCTGGGGCCAGGCACATGGTAGGTCTCAGTAAACATTAGTTCATGAAATAATCTCCCTCCTTTAAGCAGCTTTTTCCTGGGCCAGCATACCACCAGGTTTGGGGGGCTTTCATTATGGAAGAAATATGCCACAGGCGTGACACAGTGGCTGGCCGCATGAGTCAGGATAGACCACGCTGTGCTGCAATGACAAATTAACCCTGAAATCCCAGGGGACTAACACCACAAAGGTTCATTTCTTGCTCACATTCTTTGGCCAAGGCAGACTGGCAGGGGCTCTGCTCCACGTAGCTGCTTAGGGACTCTGGATGTTGGTTATACCAAATTTCAGCAAATGTCTTTGCTGCAGGGGCAAAAGAGCAGGAAGGCTATGCACTGGCTCTTAAACACGTTGGCCCAGTAGTGCCAGACAGCATTTCCACTCACAGCCATAACTAGTCC